ACAATTTGGAGGCTTTAAGTCCAAGTTCAAAGTGCCAGGCTCTAGGGGCTGGGTGAAAGCCCCTCAACCTTGGGGTCCAGCTCTGCCTCCAGCTCCCAGCCCACTGGAGCTAGAAGCACTTCTTCACTCAGACAGCTGCTGGCTGCTAAGGCTGGAAGCCTCAAGGTTGACCAGTAAAAAGGCACGGTCCAGATGTTACCAAACCAAACGGCAGGCCATTAACATAAGTCCATTGTAAGTCCCAAGGTCGGCAGAGCATGGCAGGCTGCTGAGCAATGACACGGCTCCATGCAGGGTCCAAGCATGCCATAGGCTTGAGACCATTCTCAAAGCTTCTTATATACAGAAGCAGACCACATCCCAAAGGCAGCTACTCAGCTGCTTGTGGTAGATCCCACTATGAAGTTAATTTCCAGTCTCCTCATGGGGATTAACTACCACCAGCTGCCCTGCCACTCAACCAGGCTCCGCCAAGTTGACACACAAACATAACTACCACAGAGTCCATCCTTTTTTATGACCTGGAATAGTTTGAGTAAAATTGGTTTCAGTTCTTCTCTGGACGTTTGGTAGAATTCTCCAGTGAAACCATCTGGGCCAGGCTTTTGTTGTTGTTGTTGTTGGTAATTTTCTTATGACCTGTTCAGTTTCTTCTTTTGTCATGTCTCTTCAAATTTTTCACCCTAGTCTGTGTTAGTTTAAGTAAGTAGTATGTTTCTAGCCATCTGTCCATTTCTTCTAGATTTTCAAATTTATTGGAGTACAATTCTTTATAGTATCCTGATATTATCCTTTGTTTTTTCTGTTGGTTCTGCTGTGACATCACCCAATTTGTTTCTTATTCATTTGCATTCTCTCCCTCTTTTCCTTTATTAAGTTTGCCAGTTGTTTGTCAATTTTATTAATCTTTTCAAGAAACCAACTTCTAGTCTTGTTGATTTGCAAGATCTCATCTTGATTTAGTTCATCTTGAACTTTTTCCTTTACTTTATTTTAATGTTTCTGCTAGGTGTCCTGAATCAATATTCAGGGACAAGGACTGATGTGGACCGAGAGTTCATTATAATGTTCACTCTGGTGGATGAGAACCAAAGCTGGTATCTTGATGAAAATATCAGACATTTCTGCACTGACCCTGATTCAGTTGATAAACAAGATGCTGTTTTCCAGAGGAGTAACAAAATGCATGGTGAGTGTCTCCCACATTTTAACAAATACATACTTATTACATTTTTGTGTACCTGGTACTATAGGTAAACAAAAAAGAGAAATGTTGAGCATAATTTTCAAAGATTTTTAACTTAGTGACAAGAATAGTTAGAAAATTGTATATGATATATGTTGAAGCTTAAAACAATATGAAATGGGAGTTCTGGTAAGATGGTGGACTAGGCAGAAAGACTGCACAGATCCTCTTCAACAAAGAAAAGGGAAACCAATTAACACAAACACAGAAGATAATCCTGGACCCCTGAGCCTTGAAGGGAAGGATATAGAAGTGGACTAAATCCCAACTAGCAGAAGAATTTGCATG